GGCCCGAGCGGCGGAGGCGAGCGGCGGCGGAAGCACCAGGCCGAAGAGCGTACACGCGCGGAAGCAGAGAGGGTTATGACGATGATGAGTTTTAGCTGGCTGCTTTTTACTTCGTGGTGGTCAGTTTGAAAAAATGCACGGAGGGCCGGTCCTGGGCTAGAGCGACTGGTCTTGGTCGGAGAGACCGGTCTTGGTCGGTCAGACCGGTCTTGGTCGGTCAGACCGGTCTTGGTGGGTCAGACCGGTCTTGGTCGGTCAGACCGGTCTTGGTCGGTCAGACCGGTCTTGGTCGGTCAGACCGGTCTTGGTCGATCATTCCGAGCGCTTGTTGTCGCAGCAGTCGGTAGCCGTGGGCGAGTCCGTGCGCGGAGGGGAAGGTGCGTATGGGTCTGCCTGTTTCATGGTAGCCGCCGGGAATAACGTTGGTTTTGAGAGCGACAGCGGCGACGGTCATGGCGCCGTATTGGACGGACTTGGCGAAGAGGCAGGTGAACCGGAGCTGGTTGACCATTTCGGTGGCGACCCAGCCGGGGTGCACGGCGTAGGCTTCGACGCCGTTCTGGTGGAGATACTGGACCTCGAGTAGCATGGCCAATTTGCTGCTGGCGTATCGAAGCAGCTCGTGGCCGAACCAGGACGTGCCGCCCTCAATGAGTTCCACGTCCAATGCGGGTTGTGCGGGTAGGCGTCCGATGGCATGTGCGATGCTAGAGAGGCAGACAACGCGGCGCGTGTGCTTTCGGAGTTGTTCGATCATGACGACGTGGTGCAGCCAGTTGACGGTCATAATGGCGTCGCCGGTAGCGATTCCAGCGTTGCAGATGAGGCAGTCGATGAGTGTGTGATTTTGACCCTGTGTCCCTAGCGTGTATTCCGCACGCTGTTCCTGTGTCCATTTCTCGGCAAGGAGGGTGGTGAGGCGGGAGCACGCGTCTAGTACGGAACGTCGGCTGCGCAGGTCCATTTCAACGCCAATAACCTCGGTACGACCGAGGTCTAGACGACTGAGGTCTAGACGACTGAGTTCGCTCCGGAATTGTTTAATGCGTGCGTCTGCACTCCTCATACAGACTACGACACGTTTAACCTTAAGACGACATAACAGCAACGCCAATTCGCGTCCTATGCCACGACCACCGCCAGTAAGTACGATCGTTAAACGTCGCACCTCAGGATCCCGAGACAACCGGAACAAATCCAACCCACGACCATTCGCGAACCGTCGAACCTGTCGCCATAACCACCATAATCCCAGCGCCACTAACCCACCCACATTCCAAGCACCCCGCACACGACCACTCTTCCGTAAGTAATTCGACACCGAACCAACCAACAAACACACCAAACCTAAACCTATTATGAACACAGCCACCGTCCACGACTCCTGGTAGTAGTACAAACCAACCAAGTAACCC